CTCCCCCTCCTTTCACTCGAGTGCCTGGCTCCGTGTGCCATCTTTGCTTCTTCCTGAGTGGCTGCAGAGTGCCGGCAACTTGTGATATACGCTTTCCCACTCTCTACCCTTCATCACCCACTCTCGGCCTCCTCTGCTTCCTGCGGACACAGTCTCTCATCCAGAAACACCAGCCCGCACTGGCTGGCTCTCTGAGTGCCATTTGTTGGCTGCTGGGGTTGCTTTTTTTTTTTTTTTTCCTGCTTCTTTTGATTTCTTGCTTGCCTCTCGCCGCCTCCCCCTCCTTTCGCTTGAGTGCCTGGCTCCGTGCACCATCTTTGATTCTTCCTGAGGGGCTGCAGAGCTCCATTCGGGTGTGGAGCTGCTTCCCAATCTGGGCTACTGCGCTGGTGGGATTCTGGGGATTTTGTTCATCTGTTCGTTTTGAATTGTTTTTCTTTTCCTTTTATTGAGTTGGGAGCCCTTGCTGGCCAGGCGGAGCTGCGTGGCAAGGAACTCCCCTTCAGCTTCCACAGATGTGCAGAGGGATCCCTGAGACCATTTCTTTTTTTCTTGGTTTTTTTTTTTTTTTTTTTTGCTGTTTTTTTCTGGGGGACCTTTCTTGTTCTTTTTTGTTTCTTTAGTTTTCTTTTGCCTCTTTTTCCCGTTTTGTCTTTCTTCATTGCTCAGTTTCTCATACCTCTATATCTTCCTTCTCTTTCTGATCCCTGAGTACCAGGCGTTGTATACCTCTACACCTTCTAGCCAGGCTGTATTGCAACACCTGAGAGCGACTTCCCCAGACCCCATAGCTGCACCGGTGAGATCACTGGGAACTTTGCAGTTATTTAACCTTTCTGATATTTATTTATTCATTCTTTTCTTTTCTTCCTCTTCCCCTTTCTCTTTCTCTCCATTTCATAGTCTCTCATCTCTCCATTCCAAAGGCAAGCTCCCCTAGCATTCTTTTTTATTTGTTTGTATGTTTTTGGCTCATGTTCCTCTCTCCTCTCTCCCATATCCATCTTAGCTACACATAACAATCTCCCCGCTGCATCCTGCCTACCAGCACCGTGTGCTTGACATCACACCAGCAAGCAGCACGGGCAAGGCCTACTGGAACCTGCCCTGCACTGATTACCGACCCGCTCTGGTGGCTGTAGTAAGTGCCACAAACAACCCATTCCAGTAACTCCTCTTCAGCTAGACCTGCCCTGCTGTACCATATCTGAGTGACTGACCCTGCCAGTTGGAGAAGGAGGCGAAAAGTATTGAGCGCACAGATGAGCAAACAACAAAGAACATACAGTCTGCCTGCTCATAGTCAAATTTTTTTTTAAAAAAAGGGACGAAACAAACAAATCTACAATCAATAAACAAGAAAAATAACTACTGAATGCCCCAAAAACAGCAGACAATATCTAAACATTTAAAAAAACACGACAGGATAGTTCCAGCAGGGGTCCAAAATAAAACACCAGATGACTCTCTTGTGGAAGAAAATACACTAGAACTACCTCATAGGGAATTCAAATCTCTAATACTCGAAATTTTCCAAGAACTGACGCAAAAAGCTGAAAAACATGAGGAAAAAATACACAAATTCATGAAAAATACAGACAAAAAATTGGAAGAATTCAGGAAGATGATGCAAGAACAAAATGCCAAAATAAATTCACAACTAGAAATTATACAAAGATGACAATTAGAAATCCAAATGCTAACA